CGCAGGCTTCCGCTATGGTTCAACCGGGCTCCACCCGCGGGTCCTGTCTCCTTTGTCCAGGGCGTTGGGAGACCTGGGCGCGGAGTGAGCGCGCTGCGCGGAGAACACTGGGCTGGGAGCTAGCAGCCGTCTCCAAACCCAGAGACGGGGGAGCAGGAGCAGATTCGGAACCAGGCACTGTCAGCCCCTTTCCTTCGGAGGAGAAGCCGGGAACCCCCTCCTCATCTTGCTTCATGACAACTACGCTGAGTCAACTTTCGCCCACGTCTCCTGATTGGGTGAGACGGGCCACCTGCCCAGGATCGGACCTCGGCCCCGCGTTCTGTCCTGGCACCGCCCGTTCTCCCCTCGGAAGCTGATTGGCTCTGGGATATGGCCAGGAGCCTCCCCTCCCTCCTGCACTTAAAGGAGTCAGCTCTCTGAGCCGTGGTTTGGTTTTGTTTTTCCTCTTCCGAGGGATGGCGCTTTCCATCTTCATCCTGCAGCTGGCCGTCCGCATCCTGGCATGCCCCTTGTACCTGCTGAACTTCCTGGGCCTGTGGAACGGGATATGCAAAAAGTGCTTCCCCTTCTTCTTGGCGAGGTTCACCGCAACGTACAACAAGCAGATGGCGAGCCAGAAGCGGGAGCTCTTCAGCAGCCTGCAGGAGCACGGGAGCCCCTCGGGGGAGCTCTCCCTGCTGGAGCTGGGCTGTGGCACCGGGGCCAACTTCAAGTTCTATCCGCCCGGATGCAGGGTGACCTGTGTAGACCCCAACCCCAACTTTGAGAAGTTCTTGATCAAGAGCATCGCTGAGAACCGACACGTGCAGTTTGAGCGCTTCGTGGTGGCCGCCGGGGAGAACATGCACCCGGTGGCCGATGGCTCCATGGACGTGGTGGTCTGTACCCTGGTCCTGTGCTCCGTGGAGAACCAGGAGCGCATCCTCCAGGAGGTGCGCAGAGTGCTGAGGCCGGTGAGTGTCAGCGTGTGAGGAGGGCCGGTTAGTAGCAACCACATCACCACGAGCGGGCCTATCACTTTCAGCTGAATCGAACGTTCTAATGTAAAGAGAAGACACTATTGATTTTTTTTAAAAAAAATCTTAGAGTGGGGAAGAAGCTATAAAGGGAAAAACTGGTAAATCTGAATACACAAAATTTTTAAACTGCAGGGAGGACTGAAGGGTCCCGGGTTCGCTTCAGGTCAAGGGTACATGCTTGGGTTGCGTGCTCGATCCCCAGGAGGGGGCGTGCAGGAGGCAGCCAATCAATGATTCTCTCTCATCATTGATATTTCTCTCTCCCTCTCCCTTCCTCTCTGAAATTAATAAAAACATTTTTTTAAAAAGAAATTAAACTGCAGGGGAAAAGTACTATAAACAAGAACAAACTTAGAAAAAATATTTGCCAGCGACGATAGACAAAGGGTTAACTTTCTTCCTATTAAATGGCATTACTAGTCAAAGGTCAGTAGGATTTTTTTACAATATGTTTTTATTGATCTCAGAGGGAGGAAGGGAGAGGAGAGATAGAAATATCAGTGAAAGAGAAACATTGATTGAATGCCTCCTGCACACCCCCTTCTTGGGATCGAGCCCGCAACTTGGGCACGTACCCTGATGGGGAATCGAACCAGTGACCTTCTGGTGCAGGGGCTGATGCTCAACCAACTGAGCCACACCTGCCAGGTGGTAGGATTTTTTAAAAATTATTAGAAAAACACAAGGGAAAAAATAAGCAAAGAGCAGGAACAGAAATATAAATAAAAACAGCCAATAATATGATTAAAATGCTCAACCTAACAATTAAAGAACAAATTAGAGCAAGATACCATTTTTACCTATTATGCTGTCAGAGACTTTTAAGGTCCGTATGGTGTTGGGGTGCATTTGGGAGATTGGACGCCCCATGCACATGGGAGGAAGTGCTCTCCTCGGAGGGCGATTTGATAATATCAAAGTTTTTTTTTTACTTAAATTTATTGGACTGACATTGCTTAATAAAATGATACAGGTTTCAGGTGTACAGTTCTGTAACACATCATGCATATTGCACTGTATGCTTACCGCCCAAAGTCACATCTCCTTCCATCACAACACATTTGACCCTCTGTACCCTTACTACCTCCCACCCCTTTCCTCTCTGGAAACTACCATACTGTTGTCTATGTCTATGAGCTGTTGTTTTTTTGCTCATTGTTGTTTTCCGTTTCATATCCCACATATGAGTGAAATCATAGAGTTCTCGACTTTTTCTGTCTGACTTATTTCACTTAGCATGATAGTCTCAAGATCCATCCATGTTGTTGCAAATGGCAGTATTTCATATTTTCTTATGGCTGAGTAGTATTCCATTGTACAAATGTACCACATCTTCTTTATCCAATCATCTGTCAAAGGACACTTCGGCCCTAGCTGGTTTGGCTCAGTGGATAGAGCGTCAGGCT